CCCCCCCCCCCCCTCCCCTTGAATGTTTGAATTACTTTGTTGCAGGGTGCGACGGTTCGGAACGAAGGTGAAAAGGTAGTCGTTGGTCGTGTGATACGTGGTGGCATAGTCGAGAAATCCAATTTACTAAAAGAAGGGGACGAACTCATTGAAGTTAATGGCAACGATTTGCGTGGCAAAACCATCACAGAAGTTTGTGAAATCCTGGTAGGATAGTACTGGGTTTTCTAAACAAAAATAAAACCAGTTACATGGCTGGGAGATGGTTTCTGGGTTGAGTGAGGGATTCGAGAGTTATTTTCTTGATAGTATTATTATATTAAAACTAAAAAAAATTTCATCTGTGTGTATTAAACTTGTTAAGTTCGGTTTCTTTTTGAATTTTTACCATCAGTTTGAGTCTGTCTTCTGCCTTTCAGCAGAGACCAAAATCGCCGAGAGAAAAGCTGAAGGGTACAAAATTTGAATCGAGAAACGTTGAAAAAACCAAAGGATTGTTTTAATCAGTTATGAAAAGAAAAATAATATTTGCCCGAGCTAATATCAGCTCCGAAACAAGAGATTTTGAAAAAATGGGCGGAAAGCGCGGAGCTCAGTTTTGTTCCTGAAATGAACGAGCATATTATTCGTTTTGGGGTCTTAATTTGCTACTGATAAAACTAAGAGATAATTCTTTTAAAGGGTTGCGGCGCGCCGCCTAAAAGGTTGCAGTTGGAAAAGGCTACTGTTACAGTTTTGAAGCAGTAGAATGAACCGTGCTGACTGCATAAAATGAAATTATCTCGCGCAAGGATTGCATATTTCTTGAAGCTTCATATTTAGATTCAGAAATCAAATTTTGATATTTTTTGAAATTTTACGACCTTGACCTTATTAGTTTTTTACGTTAAATGGTTTTTTTTCCATTGGAAATCCACATTTGTAGAGGTCAATATCGGGCGAGCTGTCGCTTGTGGTTGCTCCATCAAGCAAACCGGATGATGTGCCGGCACCATGTCATGTGAAACATTTTCGGGCTCTTTTTGATTATGACCCTGAGGTGAGTGTGCTTGTCATATAGCTCTACAGTTAATCTGTAATTGCTCGCAGATCTCAATCCATGCAAAACTGTGGCTGATCGGCTTTTTACAAGTCTTATTCATGTTTAGGTACCCATATATGTAAAACGAATGTTTTCAGCGATGAATATCCCCATTAGCCTTCATTAAGCGCCTTTATTTCCTAGGAACCGACTTTAGCTAGATTTGCCTTAAAAAGCTTGGTGAGTTTTTTTT